TGCTGAAGATTTGAAATGCTACAAGTTTACAGGAGGGGTTTGGAATAGAAAAGAAGGAAAAAAGGAAGAAATGAAACTGCCTCCCTTGCTACCCCTTCATAAATGGGGGGGGTCTTCTGCTACAAGCAGGAATCAGATGAACCATACTGCAGTAAAGTAGTTCTTTGTTTAATTGTTAACATGTATTTTATTTAACATGCACCAAAAAGAGTGAAAACCAGTGAGTTTATCATTGTGGAGCTCCTCACTTCATGTTCCTCAGTTTTTTGTGCCATTGATGGAACATTTCAATCAAGACACAAGGTACAGCCAGGTATAAAAAGAAGATAAATTATATGGAACACTTTAAGATGCTACCAACTCCCATGTGACCCATTGAGCTATTTTGAAAGGATAAAATCTAATAGGAGTCAAAATTCAGGATATTTTGAGCACAGTCCTTGGATCAAATGAGATGACAACTTGATGTCAACCAAGATATTGATACTGACAAAACAGTATGGGGAGTAGCATGGAAAGAAGTCAACATTGAAAGGATTTCCCCCAAAGTCTTTACTATGGTTTGTTTAACTCTGAATATTTTGTTCAGAGTATCCACAGCTAGGACTCTGGTTTCTAATTGGTGCTCAGACCAACAGTGGCATCTTCCTCCCCTTGGACAAGCTGAGGCTGAAGCCAGAACATGGTTAGCCCATAAGGCCAGACACCCAGTTCCTCAAGTCGTGGCCTGTGGAGTCCTGGGCAGTCTCTGTAACTCAATGTGCCTCTGCTTCCTCACCTGTAAAATGAAGATGAAGACAGAGTTATTGGGAAGCTTCAATGAGCTAAGACATGAAAAGCAGAGTAATGCTTTGTACAAAGGAAGAGCTTGGTAAATGTTCACTAAAAATGCTGCTGCTGCTTTGTTCCTAGGGAAAAAGCAAAAATGAAAGCTGAGAAGTCAGAATGGTTGAAGAATGGACCAACCCATACACACAAAGTCTCTCTGTGACATACCCGCCAAGGGGTCATCTGTACTTTGCTACGACCTGGTGAATCCCCCTGTGAACCATTACTCAGCAGGAAGAGAATTTAAAGGAGGTGTGATGGGGTCCAGAAATATCAGGAAAGGACAGATGGAGGGAGCCTTCTGTGGACACACACCTGACCCTTTTGTTCATATTCTCTGAACCTTAAAGGTATAAAACCGGACAAACAGGAAAAGTAAATAAGCAAAGTACTACATCATTCAGAAGATGCCAACCAGAGAATAATTTTAGAAAATCTTAGATCCAGTTATGAAAGCCAGAGGCATAAGGGCTTCTTTGCAATCCTGGGGGTTTCCATTTGCATATCTGGAGTAGCAACAACAGCTGGCCTAAGTTCCTTAATGTTTCTGTCATAGACAGAGACAAAAACAAACCCCAAATGGCTTTGGTGAAGTCAACTAAGTCATGTGATCCAGTAAGTCTGCTCAAATCAACAACTGTTCCCTGAGATGTATTTTCTAAGAGGTGGCAGTGCTAGTTTTCTCGTAATGCCTAGTACCCTCAGGAGGTCACTTTCTATGAGCAGAGGTAAGGCCAGTGCCATACAGGGTTGACTGTGACCAGTGCCATTTCTGAGAAGGAAAGACTTGCAGAGTACATAGGAATTTAAAGACGGGGAAAGCATGTCCAACTGGGGCACCAGGAAAGTCACACAGTAGGGGAATAGAACAGGTACATGAAGTCAAGGTAGAGAGAACAACAAAGACCAAAGGAAAGACCAGAAAGCAGGCTGGTTTAACTGGAGAAGTGGGCACACAGGAGTAGAAGAAAATAAGGCTGGAAATATAAGATGGGGGCCCAAGGGTGAAAGTCTTGAGGAAAGGGGCCATTCTGGGTGCCCCAAGGGTGAAGATGGATTGGGGGCCTGATGAGGGAGGATGGGGCAATGTCGTGCTCTGGGAAGAAGGGGAGCACTCTGGTCAAGTGGATCTGTGATGGGTGTGTTTGGGTTGGTTAAAGCCAGGCATCTGAGGTTAGAAAGGCCCTGATACTGGTGACTTTCCCACCTGCCCCTCAGATTGAGGCCTGGGAGCAGGAGCAGCTGAGCCAGCCTGTCTGCTTTGATTGCTGCTGCATCGACCCATCTCCCTTCCAGCTAGTGGAGCAGACCACCCTGCATAAGGCAAGCCTTGCTGGCTGCTGAGGGCTGTAGGGAGGGCTGGGCAGACGCAGGGTGTATGCTAACCTGTGCTCTCTCCATCAGACACACACTCTCTTCTCGCTCCTTGGCCTCCATCTCGCCTATGTGACCAACATGGGGAAACTCAGGGGCGTCCTGGCACTGGAGGAGGTAACAAGAATAGGTCCCACTTGAGCAGGGGAGGAGGGAAGGGCATAGGACAAGAGCGGGAAGGGATATGCTCCCCTTTGTGTTTCTTACGTGGAGTTTGGGGGAAGCGGGGGAGCAGGAAGTGAGAGGTGGAGACTGCGATGCCTATTTTGGCCACAGTCCTGAAGGGTACACAGTTGTTCACCCCATGTGGGATGTTGTGTGATCCTCACAGGTTTAGAACAGGAATTCAGGGTGTCACGGGACTGTGCTGCTGGGGGGGTGGCTGGGGAGGCCGAGGAGGTCATTGAGAGGGAAGGGGTTCACAGGGCGCCTGGTAGTCACTGCTAGCAGGCGGAAGTTTCTGTCACACCCTTGTGTCTTCTTTCTGTCTTCTTCCTCTGACCATTCACTGTTGTCTCTCTCCAATTCTCCCTTTCTTGCCAATCTCTTTCCCATTCCTCTTTTTGTTTTTCTTTCTTGTCTGTTTTTCCTCCCTCTGTCCCCATATTTTTTCTCTTCCCTATTTTGTACCTCTCCTCTTCTCCCACTCCTCCCCAGCTACAGAAAGCTATCGAGGGTCACACCAAATCTGGGGTGCAGCTCCGCCCTCCCCTTGCCAGCTTCCGGAACACAAACACCTCTCTGAAGAGCCCAGGTGGCCCACCCCCTCTGGCAGAGGGCTGGGGCCTGCCTGAGGATGCTGCAGGCCTCCCTGGAACAGGGGACCTGACTCCTGCCTCCCCAGAGACACCAGTACCACCACCGTCCCCAGATGCCACTCTGGCCCTTGCCCTGGCCAAGGCAGGGGGTGAACTGGAGGAGCTGGAGTTAGTGGAGAGCCCAGGGCTAGAAGAGGAGTTGGCTGACATCCTGCAGGGCCCCAGTTTGCGATCCACTGATGAAGAGGAGGATGAGGATGAACTGATTCTTTGACCAACCCTGGACCCTGCTCATAAAGACCACTGTTCAGAGGCCCACAACAGCGGATGGAATTGTGTGGGACTGGGGTCCTGAAGTTGGGGTAGTTGCACCTCCCAGGATTTTTTAAATGTGACGAGAATAATCTTGAAGGAGGAGTCAGAATTTAAGGAGGGAGGCGTTTCAGTCAGTTAAACATCTTCCCAATTCCTAGGCAGGCAGGTGTTTGTAACCCTGGGAGGGGCCCTGAATAGTCTGTGGGGCTTCCTAGGTTTTCTTGCTGTTTGTGTGGGATGCTCGCCTCCCCTCATGCCCCACAATTTCCCTATGCTCTTGTTCCAGTGTTTTCCTGCCCTTGCCTGTCTGTCCTTCAGTTCCTAAAGGGGGTAGGTGGGAGAAGCCCAGAATGACAGTGGCCCAAAATGACAGCAGAACGGGAGATGGGACCACCTCCAGGCCTTGTGAACTGGCCACCCCAGAATATGCCTCCAAATCATCCACACCTGCTTCTCTGGGAGCCCCCAGCCTCACACACCAGCCCACAGCCTATCCCCAGGTCCTATCCTGGCTGCTACTACCATCGCCAAGCCAGGGCCATTTCGGACCAACCACATGCCCCTCCTCTGTCCCATGCTTCAAACCATGAGATGTGGATACAAAGACTACCAAGAGCAGCTGCCTGGCAAAGAAAAAGTTGCCAAAGCCTCTGCATGGAAGAGGCAAGTGTCTTATTGTTAAACAGTCATGGCCACAAGGTATGCTCTGACCCCCCTGGCAGAAAGACCTCCTATCTCACATCAGTTCTGTTTCCAGGTGACTCCTAGAAATGCCCCTCCCCGCTGCTGTGATTGATCTGTCCTGCTAAGGGTTGCTGTGCCCTGGAGCTGTGCCAACCCCAACCCCTCTTAATGAGATCCTCTAGTTCTTCCGGGGTGGAGACTTGGCAGGACACCCTCAAGACTGCAGGCGTTAATGCTTCCCATCCTTGGGGCAGTTCCATCCTTACCCTCCCCAAAGGGCAGCAGGTTGTGGTACAGGGCATTCACCTGCCTTCCCTACAAAGGGGGACCAGGGGCTCTGAGCATCCAGAAGCCCTGGCTCCACACTCTGTCCCACCCTCTTTGCCATTCTCCTCCATCCCCCAAATAAGACACTCACAGTCAGAGGGTGCCACCACATTGTTTAGTGTCACTGAACACAGCCTCTGGTCCTCTCCAGCATCAGGTCCCTTCCACCTCCCCAGGCCAAGAAAGACAGATGCCAAGGCCTGGGGAGGGGGGTTGGCAGCGGGCATCAAGCCCCTGCCCATATGTATATAATCTGTAGTATTTATATATATTTATATACAATTCTCTCTGTAATATATGTCATAGAATCCCTCTTGGGCCTGGGGTAGGAATATCACATTAGGAAAACATGCTAAGACTGGCCATAAATATGGGCATTTCTCAGACCTGGAAGACAGATGTGGGGTGTGTGGGTGGGGGCAAAGACAATAATAAACTTACTCCCCAAGATCCTCTCCTCAAGACAAGGATAAGGAAGGCGGGGTGGTAGAGTCAATGGAAGGGGAGGAATGGAAGGTTTGGATTTTCATTTAATAAAGTCATTTGAAAATGAAAGTGCACCTTCCAAAATCATTTAGCAAGAGCAGTTTCATTCACAAGAATATAAAACAGCCCTGCTCCAGAGCTGCTGTAAAACGTGCTGCACGGCCTTTCACCCCAAAAGAAAAGCCCATCCCCACCCCACAGCTTCCTCCTGCACATGCCCCACCCACCCCCCCAAAATAGGCTAAAAGAAATCCCCATGCACCCTGCCCCAGAACCAGAGGCAGTCCCTCTGCCAGAGCGCACCACTGCCCACCAGCACCACAGTCTTCCTCTTCAGAGTGGGGCAGGGCTCCTGGCTAAAGGCAGACACCCCTGACTCTGCCTACAAGGATGTGCCAGCACCTTTGGCACACCAAGTCCCTGCTTCTGCATGAACCTGACTAGGTGCCTTCTGATCTTTATCTACCTCTCATCAGGGACCATTTGGCTTTCCTGGGAAAGGGAGGGGGGAAAGAAAGCTGTTCTAGTCTACCTTTCCCCACTCCCCAGGGTCCTGAGCAAAGGGAACTGTAATGAATGAAACCTACTCCCTGGATTGCAGTCCACTGGGATCTGGGGGAAGAATTGGGGGCACTGGTGAGTTGAGAAAAAAAAGGGAGAAGGTAATGGTGTTGGTAGAGCAGGCTGGGCAAGGGGAGGAAATGGAGCCAGTGGCAGGAAAATAGAGTAAGCATGCAAAATGCCAAGGACCTGGGGCAGGAGTCTGGGGCCAGAGACAGCTGCCAGGTGGACACACTGGCTTTTCCCAGACCTCCTGGAAGTAAGGTCTTGGTATGCTGAGCAACAACAGGTGGATAAACCCGAGGTATCTTTTCATGTACAGGCAGCGCTAGGTGAAGCCAGGGACTGTTCACTTACCTTGGCTTACCATACCTACTCCTATGTCCTACAAGAGCCAAGCTCAACATTGCTAGCCTCCCCTGCTCAGAACCCAGATGCCTGCCACCTCATGAGCGCCTATGCATGGGGTGGGGGGCAGGGTCACAGATGAACAGAAGCACACTAACTCTCAACTGCATTCCAAAGCCAGGGGTGGGGGGATTGCACCCAGGATCTGGGGAAGGACAACAATGCTCCCATCCTGACAGAGAACCAAGCAATAGGTCCCCTGACAGTGCAGGAGGACTCAGCAGCAGGAGCTTACAGGAGAACTAGGAAGCAGGGAACAGGGACAGGAGCCTTAGGCTTCTTCAGTTTAAACTCCACTCATGCCAGGGGCAGGTGTGGGCCACCTCTGGAGTGGCAGGGGTGAGATGCTCCCCATCTTTGCTCCAGTCCCGCTCTTCTGCCCCTTGCAGGTGTCCTGGTTTAATTTGGTGCTCCACGTCCCCATGGTCTCAAAACCCCAGGGGAATCAGTGTGAGTAGGGAAGCTTGTGCCTCCTGGCAAACCCATCCAGGAAGGAAGAACGCACTGGTTCTCCCCTCTTCCTCCAGCAGGTGGCCTAGGGACAGAGGCAGGACACCTGGGAGGCCATCTTGGGAGTCGTGGGAAGAGCTGATGAAGGGGTAGAAGCCAGTGCCCACCCTGGCCCGCAGCCACTAGCCCAGCCCAGCCAGGGCAATGACAGCACCAGACTCCTCCTTCCACCCGGCTCAAACCTGAGTCCCCAAGAAGGTATAAAAATGTAGAAAAGGCAAAGAGAAAAGTGTAAACAGCTCCAGAGAATTAGGGGTGGGTAGGGGGAGACCCAGGCGCATGCTCCCCCCACTGGCAGGAACACTGCCTCCAGGTCAGTGGATCTGAGACTGGTGTCCCCCCATTCTCCTCAGGGCTGGGCTCCTGGAGCAAGGGATGGAAGAAGGCAGGAAGGGAGCCAGAGCTAAAGCAGCCGGCCCCAGGTAAGTGTTTTCTCCCAACCTTAGGATCCTCCTTTTAGCCACAGGACATTCAAGAGCCCAGAACAAGTAGCCATGTTTGTTCTTGGTCTCATCAGTGACCTTCTTGTCTTTGGGCAGACCTTGAGATAAAGAATCACACTTGTGCCCCCAGCTGCCAGACCCACCTCCTGAGATCAGGATCCAAATTCCCCACGGAGGGCAGACTGTCCATCCACCCAGACACAGACGTGCCCTTCAGGTCACTCCCCTGTGCCTCTCAAGCCACATCCAACAGTCCCTGAGGTCTGCTCCTCACAGCCAGAGAAAACAGAGTCAGGAAAAGCAAGAGTGAAATGGAGAAAGGAGGCATTCAAACAGCACAGCCAAGGCTCCTGGAAGACGAAATCAGGGAGTGAAGAACTGAGATCCAGTTCCAGCATGGTCTCTCTGCACTGCTGTTGCCACATGCACATGGGCACAGAACCAGAAGCCCACCTCTGTAGCTCTTCTCCCACAGCTCGCCAGGTTCACTGCCATTCAGCAGCCTGGGTCTCAGTTCAGACTTGTGGTTTCTAGTGTTTGCCTAGATAAAACCCCTTTCTGGTCCTCCACTTGGCGGGCGAGGGCTGGAAGCTCCCAGGTTCCCCACTGTCTTCTGCCCAGCTCAGCTGTGCTGTGGGGCAAAGGAGGGGTACGGTTTGCAGCCATGCCCCTCAGGTAGGAGCAGGAAGTGAGGAAGCTAGTTGTTGGCCTCACCCTCCTCCTCATCAAAGGACTGCACACCTGAGGATGTGACGTCAGACACCTTCCGGCTGAGAGCAGTGGACACCTCAGGATCTTCTCGTGGGGAAAGTGACTCCAGGTCCCGGCATCCAGCATCCTCTTCCTCCTCAGGGGCCAGCGGCCTCTTCTCGTCCTCAGCAGGGCCTCTGGCCAGGTCCACCCCACCACCCCCTGGTGCCCAGTCAGTGTCTCCTCCCAGCAAAGCCGGAGGCTCCTGAGCAGAGTACCCTGAAGCAGGCTGGGGAGGCCCCATGTCATGCAGGCTAGGCTGCGAGTCATCGAATGCAGGGCCAAGATAGGATCCTGTGGCCGGAGAGGCAATGAGGGACTGGTCGCTTGCTTCCCAGGCATCTGATGACCCCAGACAGTACATGCCCTGGGACACATAGGAGTGAGGCCATCCATCCATGGGGGCTTGGGCAAGGGCATCTGTAGAGAGAATGAGGAGGCCTGAGCATCATTCATGGGAACATCACAGGCAGTACAACAGCACAGAGAAGAGCGGGTAAGGCACAGAATCACGGAATAAGGGGACAAAAGCTCTAGGAAAACAGATGAGCCCCAGTGAGGGCTCCTCAGACCCAGGGATTGGGTTCTGAATCCATTACTCACCCTGACTCTCCATCAACTCCTGGTAGTTGTCACTGTAGTTGCAGCCCAGTGGCTCCTGGGCAGAGTTGACACTCATGTCCTCGCCATCCATGGATGACCAGGCCATAAGAGTGGCCTCAGAAATAGCAAACTGTTCCATGACACCTGCAGGAAGAAATAAAGTCACCACACGATTCCTCGGGGACTTGTGCAGACATGGGGGGACTCCCAGTGAGGTGCTGGTCAGTAGGAACAGAATGCAGGCCCCTATATCACTGTAAATTTTCTAGGAGCCACATTTAAGATTAAAAAGAAACAAGTGAAATTAGTTGTAGTAACATATCTCAATATACATAAAAGGACTATCATTTCAGCATATTAACAATATAAAAGTATTAATGAGATACTGTACAATGTTTCACTTATCTAGCCTGTATTTTACAGATTCAGCACCTTTCCAATTGGACGAGCCATGCTACACATTTTCCATGACCACAGGTGGCCAGTGGCTACTGTGTTGAATAGACCAGCCTTGGTAGGTGCTCCAAACCAAGGAAAACATTACAGAGGACTCCCTAGGATGTCAGATATAGGATTCCTGGCAGAAAGGGTTGGGGGTCCTCTGCTGAGGATGTATTACTCTAATGTATTAGAGTTAGGGATTGCCAGAGCTTGTCTTTGGAGCGTTGTTTTGGGGGGCGGGGAACTGAACTCTTTGGTGGTCAAGAGCAGAGGAATCCACCCAGGGGGTAGCTTCCAAGACCCTGAGGGAGAATCAAGGGAATGTGGGTCCATAGTCATATAAAGCTGAAAGTCCTTGGGAATGGAAGGAAAAGGAGGGACATGAGAGTGAGCAGGGGTGCACTTTGTGGAGTTCCTATTCTAGTCAGAGCCAGGAGGGAGCTGAAGCCGGCACTGTTACTACCCGGAGCTATCACCCTATCCCTAAATTTCTGTCTTCTCTCCTTGCTGGTATTTCCTTTACCATCCATACCACCAACACAAAGATTTTTCCCTTCTCTTCCAGACCTGTCCCTTTTGCTGGGCATCTCACTAGCCAATAGGGCTCTGTCTCCTCTGTAGGGATTCTATACACCTTTCATTGTACCTATACTGCTTTCCTCTTCTGTATACCACCACCTACAAGCCAATTCCCTTGAATATCCAGTGGCTGTCACAAATAACGAGTTCAGTAAGTGAATCAGCAACACCAAATGTTGATGGGCAAAGGCTGAGATTCCCCAAAACCTCTTTCACTTCCGAAAAAGTGAGCAGAAGCAGAGCCTTTTAAAACCCAAAGCCCCTACATTTCCTCCTATACTAAAGAAGTATAGGGATAGGACAATCCTATATAATTAAAAGAGAAAGTGCTTTTATGTGGACCCACAAATTCTTAGTTCCTCTCATTTTCTGAGACTGTAAGTAAAGATATATGTGAGGGCACTACAGAATTAACAAGTCAAAGTACTTGCAAGTAGAGCTATTGGAACTGTTAGCCTTTGGCTAAGATATGTATAGAGACAATCCTGTCACAAAGGAGCAGGGTGAAGGATCAGTTGCTGGCCATCCCATAAATGCTTCTCTTGAGGGTTCAGGGTTCAAGTACCTGCTAGGAAACGCGCCTCCTTCTCGCCATCACTGAGGTCGGAGTAGGCATCTGTATCCCTGCGCACTGCCTCATGGCTGTGTTGTGGCTGAATGGTTGGGGTCTTCCCCCAGCCCTGCCACTCAATCATGTGGGCCACTCGTCCTTGACCCATGGCAGTGGGCTTCGTCACATGGTCCTTCATGCTTCTTGAGATTCCTAAGGGGCCAGATATTCCCCACATGCTCCCGAATATCATACAATATCCATATCACCCCCCCTCATCCCACCTGAGTCTTACACAGGATTCCATCCCATTGGGGCAAGTATCCCCCACACCCATATATGAGGAGTAGCCTTGAGGAGGAGAGGGGATGTGGGATGAGAGAGAGATGTGGGAGGAGGGTCCTCATCAAGCCTGAGGAGCATGACATTGAGACCAGGAGCCTATAAGTACTCCACTGAATGCACCTCCCAGGTTGGGAGTCTCACCTGAGAATGATGACTTGGCCAGGGCCCCAATGCCATACGCATTAGAGTTTCGCTTAAGCTTCGGAAGGATGGAGGTGGTGTCTTCCATAGAGAGCTGGGATAGGGAATTTAAGAGGAGGGGCAGAGGGATAAGAAGGTAAAAGTTGCCTCACATATAGAGGAGAGTTTGTAGTTTCCAGGAAGGAGGATATGCACTGAGGCAGGAGACACAGAAAACCATTATCCCTGATTCCCAAGGAGGCACAAGCATCAACCACCCTTGAGGACTGGGAAGTGGGGGAGCATGTGAGGGTTCATAGTGCTGCTGGAGCTGGGCAGTGTTGTCCCATAGAGCGCCAGGAAGATGCAAGGAAGCGGAGTCAGGGTGGGCTGGGGAAGGCTGGGGCAGCTGCACTCACATTGATGCCATCCCAGGAGAAATCAGTTCGTGTTTGCTGTAGAAGACAGGAGAGGAAATGGTAGTCCGGGCATTTGAGGAGTGTGAGTAGTCTCACCTTCCTCAGTGGGACTTCTAGGAGTGTGTAAAGTGAGGCGGGCCTTCCTGAGGTTGCCTCAGGAAAGCAAGATCTCAGTGGGGAACGTTTGCCGTGTATTTTCAGAAGAGCAGGGTGGAATGTTCTGTAAAGTGTCAGTCTGAAGGAGGGTTTGGGATGTTGCCATGGAATTTACGAAGAGAATCCAGAGATCGTGCACTAGAGACTAGGGGCTTTGCTCTTGATGGTCTCTCTGGCCATTTGGCACCGGGGCATCAGAGCTCACAGGACTCACCTCCGTAGAAGGCCGGTGAAGGCTGCTTCCATGCAGTGAGCTGGTGCTGTCCATGTTGATTTGATCCACATCCTTCAGGCCTTTCCAGTCTACTGCAATCACCTCATTCCCTAAAGTGGCCAGAGTGTTAGTTGCTCCCCTTTCCTCTTGGTCCCTCTTTGGTCTTTTCCCATAGAATGCTGGGACCATATACTGGGAACAGCCCTTCCACAAGCCACCCACTAGGCCCAGCAGTCAGTCCTTCTTCTAAATCTCCATTTCCTGCTACATCTCTACTGTTCCCAATTTTTGGTGAGAAAAATACTAATGCTGAGCCAAAACATTCAGTTTTAGCTCAACCAAAAATAGCACACTCGTGGCCTTATTTATTGTTGTTGTTATTGACATGGAGCGTGATGAGGATCAGAGGCTGGGTTTTCACAGGAAAGCAATTCTCCCTTCTGTCTGGAGGAATCTCTGAGCATTTCTATGTAGAATTGGGCTTTTCACCAATTACAAACAAGGACAGAACTTTTCTAGGAGGTCACATCTCTGAATCTTCCTTTGAAGGAGAAGCCTTCATAAGAACCAATGAGTGGGTCTGACAGGAAGAAGATGTGGTGGGGATAGAGGGAAGAGGTAATGACAAGGACTTGAGTGTGTTCTCCCAGCAGCAGAGAGAACAAAGACAAAGGAGGGTGTCCTGGAGACACTGCACCCAACAGTAGGAAGACAGGTGACAGATTCAAGAGGAGGGATGGAGGACAATGTAAGGAGATGAGAAGAGTTTGTAAAATAGGAATGAAAAATACAGGGATTCATGCCCAGAAGATAATGGGTGGTGGACAAGGCTTATAGGGCTGACCGGAAAAGCAAGAGACCAATGAGGGCACCTCCTGGCCTGAGCACAGGGTGATGATACCTGCTGAAATCTGGAGGAAGAACTGCTCAAGTTATTGAAGCCAGGTTCTAGCATCAAATGGCCGCCTGAACCACCTGCCCTCACAGATCCTCCATGCACATGGTTTCCTGACTCTGAACTGAGGGTGCAGGACCCTTCTTAGGAAGGGGTGCACGGAACCAAGTCTTGGGCAGGAGGAGGCATTCAGCATGCAACAACATAGCTGGTGCAAGGAGAGCGATTAGTTCATGGGGCTGAGGGAGGTAGGGTCCCCTGTGAAGTTGGGGCCTTGGGGCGGGGGCGAGATAGGTCAGACCAGTGCTGGTGCTTAGCACTGCTGCTTGGCACGGAGGCGAGCTGCCTGTGAGAGCATAGACAGTGGGAATGGGGCAGGCGAGGAATGGTCTCTGGGAAGGCAGCTGGGGAGGGCAGAGTGGGAGAGAGGGGAGGGTGGGGAGGTGGCCTTTGAGGAAGAAACAGAGCTGAGTCAGAGGCTTGGGGGGGGCAGAGAGGTGGAGGCCAAGAGGAGAGGAGAGGTGGAGGGGGTCTCCCTGGAAATAACTCGGGTCTCAGAGAAAGCAGGCTTTCAGAGAGAGAGTTTGCTTATAATAATAATACGAATTATTCTCTCAGCCTGAGGTCACTGGGGCGTGTAGGCGGGAGAAACTGGGAGTTGGGAAAGGGAAAATTGGGGGTTTCAGCAGAGGGATGGATTAATTTGTTTAAACGTAAAGTGCAGTGGGTGTATGGAGTGGGGGATCAGGGAGCGGCAGAAACGCAGAGACTGAAGGGAGAGTACAGATTCCCAGGCGCCTCCTCCCTCCCCCCAGCCCAAGGTAAATAAAGAGCGGCCCCGCCCCGCGCCGCGGTCTCCTCGGACAGGTGCGGGCGTCCCGGGGCTCCTCGCTGGGGACCCCAACCTGAGGGAAGCCGGCTGCG